TCTTGATGGATGAATCCTTTTATCATTACGTAGTGTCCCTCATTGTCTCTTTTTATGGTTTCTAGTTTAAAGTCTATTTTATCAGATATAAGAATGGTTACTCCAGCTCGTTTTTCGATTCTTCCTTTTTCCTGAATCAAGCTCTCCACACACACTAAGGACTGCTGCAGGGATCTCATCCTGTCCTCTGACTTAACAGCCAATGCCTGCAACTCTGTCATTAATGACAGTAGCTCCAGGATGTCTCAATATTGTAAGGAATTAATCTACTGTTTTTGGTCAGATTTTCTTTGCTATTTGGGATTTTTCTCCCAGAAGGTATTTTTTCCAATTTTCATATTATTTTGAAGAAAGAATACTATGTCAGGGTTTTGGTGGGAATTTCTCCTAAAACGAATTTAAGAAAGGTTGACATCGTGACACCTTTCATCTCCCCACCGAGGGACACAGAGGGGTTTCCCTTTCATTCATTCATTCCCTCAATAAATATTTATTGAGCACAGGCACTGCTCTACATGCTTGCAATACAGCAATGAAGCAAAGCAGATAAAAATTCCTGTTGTCTGGGAGATTACATTCTACCGGGGAGAAGACAGATAACAGACAAACACACTTAGTATTACTAGAAATGTATCTAGGCTTTCCTTTAGGTCTGAGTACTGCTGTGGGCATATTTCCTACAGACAGTGCAAAAGTCCATTCTCTGATACCCCTCTGATAGACTGAGTAATTCGTTTTGCTTGGATGAAGCAGATATACTGGCCTCTGGGAGGGAGCAGGGTTCTCTCTCAGTATAGGAAATGGGGCCTTTCCTCATCTGTCTCTGGACCTCATAATTCCAGATCCTTTCAAAGGAATAACATTAAATACCAACCTTAGTGTTAAATGCAACCTATGATGCCTGTCCTGGAGCAGATCTTTGACAATGAATGTTCCAGAGCCCAGTAAATACATCTGCAAAAGAGGATGGGAAACAGACAGAGTCAGTGCACTGGCTTTGCCTCTGATCCAGTTACCATGGCTGGGGGTGCGGAGGGGGGTCCAGCCGGCTGGTGCCCATGACACATCTCACTCTTACCTCAGGAGCCCACTGGGAATGTTCAGTAAAAAATTCCCAAAGACAAGTATGTTTAGACATGAGTTAATTTGTGAAGCAGTAGTAAACTCAATCTTGGGTTCACCTCTTACCTCTCAAATGATTACATAACTTTAATACAAGGAAGAAAATCCCATGAACTACTCATTACTTAACTGTTCCCTGAGATCTATCTTTGACATCATACACGGATAGTTTGATTTGTGTCATCTGATTGATGAGAGAGTCTTGAAAGAAGGCAATACTGCTTAGAAATATAGGATTGTTGGTTCCCTAGAACAGAAAAGGAAATAATCAGAATACAGAGTTAGATTTTTTACAAGTAGTTGCTTTGAAATACACCAACATTTCAGAATGAGAAACTAACATTCGTACTGACTTGAATCAACACAAATGCTAATGGCACTTAAATGAATGCACACAACTAAAATACTGCTTTCCAAAAAAGGAATATGTAATCTGATGTCTACCGTTAGGGATCCCATGCAACAAACGTCTCACTGCACACGCTGTGCCCAAGGGCTCATTTGTAAGGGTTTTACACTCAGTAGGAGGAATTTTCTACAATTAAAATGCATTGAATGTCCACATGCATTTTTACTTTTACTAAGTAAAGTGTACCATGTATTTGGACCTACTACTTTGGGTTGTTCCTGTAAGACGTACAAGCAGGCAGATGGAAGAGGAAATGAATGGCTTAAGTGGTTTATTATTTCTAGCATACTGTGTTTGGAATAATTAAAGCCTGACTTTTTAAAAGCTATCCTTTTTAAGGACCAGCTGCTAGTTTCTAGATCATAACTGGCTATTTCCTGGCAGCTTAGCCCTGCCCCCAAAGCTCCATAATATCATATTCCCTCTCTCAGGCAACGGTTAGCTTCTCAGCCAAACCCTGGTTCCTGTTGTATGTGCTGTGAAGTCTGTACCTGTGGCCTTGTTCTATCCGCAGCTCCAGATCTAGTCTGTCAATGCCTGCTGGGAGCCTCAACCCAACTCAACCTCTCCCTCCATCAGCCCTTGGTTAAGACCATCTCTGACTCTCTTTCCAAGCAGGCTGAAGACCAGGATGTCTGCTTTGGTACCTCCTCTGCCATTCTCAACCACCCAGTGGCCACAAACTCCTCCTGCAAGTTCCACCTCCAGAGCCTCTCTCTCCCTTCTTTCCACTCCCTCCCAGGGCTTCACTCCCCCAGTGGTCAGGTGACTCTGCTGTAAAAAAAAAAAAAGAAAAAAGCCTATGCTGGCTGCTACCCTCTGCTGCCTTATACACACCCCGGGCTGGTGCCCAAGGCTTCCCTTCCTTGCTCTCCTACTGTGCCTCTTGCACACACTGAATAGGGCACAGTTATACCCCAAACACACACAATGCTTCCCTATCGCTGCGCCTTTGCATCTCTACCACTGAACTTTGGTATGCTCTTCAGTGTGTGGTCCCCAGACTGGCCGCATGGCCACCACCTGAGAGCTGGTGAAAAATGCAGCCTTGGGCCCCACCCTAGAAAGCCTGCCCTGACCCTCCGAGCTGGAGGGGACCCCAGCCTCCTGGTGCTTCCCTCACCTTTCCACTCGGACACTTCCCACTCTCTGCTGTGCAGAGTAGCCGCCACATCCACTTCCGCTTCCCCACTCACAGGCTGGCACGGGCAGGGACTGTGCCCCCATGGCCTTTGTGTCATACACAGCACCTGGCACAGTGCTGGATGTGTAGGCAGCGCTCAACAAATGCTTAGAAAACAGAATTGTTGACTTGAATTTAGAAACAAATTTCTAAGAAACTGGTCCAGCTTCTAAAATGCAAAACTGGGAGGGCTGGCCAGTTAGCTCACTGGTTAGAGTGTGGTGGTGTAACACCAAGGCCAAGGGTTTGGATCCCCACACCTGCCAGCTGCCAATAAATAAATAAATTAATTAGTTAAATAAAATGCAAAACTGGGGAAAAAGAGGAAATGTTATTTATGTTTGTTTGATAATTCTTCACATTACAAATAAAACATTGCAAAATCTCATACCAGTGACTTGTATACTTAGTGTCATAACTTATATAGTGTGATCAATTATCTAAAAGAATTTTGTAAAATTCCCTGGATGAATGTATATCATTTAATTTAATGTAAAGCATAAACATATATCGCAAAACTCAAAAGGCTGTAAACACAAAAACCAACAAATATTGGGGTATGTCCCAGCAAGAGGGTTGGTTAGTAGTTAACACTCCTCCATTGACTGATTAATCAAAAAGCTTTTTGACTAATTAATCAAATACCTTTGATTAATGGGCACAGTTTGCCAAAAGTAGCAGCCAATTTGAAGAGACAAGGAAAAATTAGGTCTTGTTTCCTAAAAGGCAATCACCCTCATAGGAATTGTTCGAAAATTGTTCGAAAACCAGCCAATAGTTAAACAATAATTGTAAAGGGTATGGCAAATATAGACGCCACTCAAATGAGTAAGTGTGATGAAAAATATCAGCGCACGGAAACCCACGGAATAACAGCAACAACTCACATAAATATACTTGCAACTACAGATGCTGAGGTAACTGCACGGCCCTCCAACTAGGGCTAGAAACACCACGCGAGCGTGTCCCGGGGCTCCCTCCGTGGAGGGGACCAGCGGCACTCACCTCAATGATCTCCGTCTGTGCGTGCTTCGTCCAGAATGCCTGAGGAGGCGTGGTCACACTCACTGCTACGAAACTATTTGGTTTTCGATCTAGTGATGGAGTATGCAGCTCACTGCAAGCTACAGAATCAAGATGGGACAGAAAAGAGTCCTTTAAAACCAGGCTCTGGTTAGTTCTCTGTTCCAAACACACCCAAAGAAAGCACAAAGAGTAAATGGCAATCAAAGGGATAAGATAATCACATTGTCAATTATCACAGGGAGGTCATTTTTTAAATTTGAAACTCTTTCTTCTCATTCCTCCTCTCCTCCCCCACCTCCAAGACAGCAATGCCACACTGCAGTGAAAGGCTGTGCCGAAGGGGGCTTCATACGTCCATGGGGTGGAACACAGAGCCAGCCACCTCCTAGGGGTCTGACCCCTAAGGCTGATCTCCATAACCAACTGCACTCTAACCAAGTGAACGACGCAAGTCAGTCTACGAAATCTGAGACACAGCTACACGTGCCTACATCCCATGACTGCTGTGGCCTGGCCCTCATGTGTGGATGGATGGATGCTGGAAGAAAATTAAAATTCTATGGCAAAATAAACAAAGTTTTTTTTTTTTTTTAAGTAAGTCACTGCTCATTTATTCTCCTTATAAGATTGGAATCAGAGGCGAGATTATTAAAAATGTTACTTTTCAAAACTAAAGGTACCCTGTAGAACTGTTTGAGTTAGAAAAATGTATCATACTAAGCATTTTGAAATAGATTATAAGACTCAGATAATTCTTTTTTTTTCTTTTTGATCCTTTACCCAATTTTCAAGGACTCAGGTAATTTTATCACAGAAGTGACCAATAGGAAAATGATTGTATTTCATTGAATCAAACATGTTCCTTATTATAAAATGCAATGTAAAAGAAAAAAAATAAAAAACATTGCCATTAAACTATGATATGCCATTGACTATACAACACTTCCTCATTAAAGAGATAATAAAATGTGAAAAAAGAAAAGAAAACCTTGGAATTGATGAATACATGGTAAATCAAAGTTCAACACTAGTAAAAACAATTAGCTTTTTTGGTGGGGTTTATTAGAAATATAAATGTTCCATTTCTCCCTTTTAAATTAAGAATAGAGAACATTAAAATTTATTAACTCTTTTTTTGTTTTTTGAGATGAAAAAACTGGCGATGGATGGTGGTGATGGTTGTGAAACCAAGTGAATAAACTTAATGCCACTGAACTGTATATTCTAAAATAGTTAAAATGATAAATTTGATGTTATGTATATTTTATCAAAAAAATAAAAATAAAAAAAATTATTAACTCTAATTAAAAAATACATTCTCGTGGGCTGGCTGGTCAGCTCAGTTGGTTAAGGCTCAGGCTTTATAACACCACGGTCAGGGGTCTGAATCCCCACACTGGCCAGCTGCCAAAACAAATAGAAAAAAAAAAAAACATTCTCATGTTCACAATAGGTTAGACACATGCAAGAAGATGAGGCATGGGATGGAAGGAAGCTACTCACAGGGATGAAAGAAATGGAAAAAAAGGAGAGATTAAGAGAAAATTAGGAAAATACAAAGAAAGGGAAGGAGGAGGCAGATTTGGTAGGGGAGGAGTGTAGTTGA